TTTCAGGAGGGGCTTCAGAATTTCCAGCTCAAAGTGGCTTAGGGGCTGCCATCTACTCGGGAGAAGAGGTGCAGCTAGAAGAACCTGAAGCCATGTTAGAGGAAAAAGGAATGGGTTTGGTGAGCTGCTGATACATATGTTTATATATATATTAATTTTTATATATTTACTAGAGGCCCGATGCATGAGAATTCATGCATGAGTAGGCCTTCCTTCCCCCGGCTGCCGGCACCGGCTTCCCTCTGGCACCCGCCATCCGGGCTGCTTTGCTCTGGCCCCAGCTTCATCTGGAAGGCTGTCTGGAATGATGCCCAGAAGGATGTTTGGTCTAATTAGCATATTACCCTTTTATTATTATAGATACTAGGGTCCCTCAGCCTGGCCTGCGAGGATTGGGCCGAAACTGGCTCTCCAACATCCCCAGTGGGGTCCCAGATTGTAAGAGGGTGGTTCTCAGGTGATGCACCCCAGAATCGGGCTCCCTCCTCTCTGGTTCCGGGTGGGTCACCTGAGAACCACAGCTGCCAAGTCACTGCAGCTCGACAGCTCCTGCATTGAGCATCTGCCCTCTAGTGGTCAGTGTGAGTCATAGCTACCGGTCAGATGGTTGAGTGGTCAGACGATCACTTAGGCTTTCATACAGATAGATATTTATATATTTATATCTGCTGATATAGATGTTTATTTATATATAACCTAGAGGCCCGGTGCATGAAATTCATGCATGGGGGGTGTATCCCTCAGCCTGGCCTGCACCCTCCCCAATCTGGGACCCCTCAGGGGATGTCTAACTGCCGGTTTAGGCCTGATCCAGGGCCACTGGCTCCTAATGGTTTACCTGCCTGTTAGCCTGATCACCCCCTAACTGCTCCCCTGCCAGCCTGATCACCCCCTAACTGCTCCCCTGCCAGCCTGATTGCTCCCAACTTCCCTCCCCTGCCAACCTGATTGCCCCCAACTTCCCTCCCCACCCCACCAGCCACCTGCTCCTTCTCCTTAGCAAGAGACCTGTTTTCCGTCCTCTTTGAAGGCACAAACGGTCTGAAACATTGAACTGGAAAAAGTGCTCCGGGCACATTCTCCTTTCTGGGCTCCCCCCGAGGTTGTTGATTGCGGGCCTGGGACGAGTGGGCACCTGCGCGTTGGTTCTGTCATTATCCCTCCCCACGGCCCTCAAGGGTGGCCGTGAGAACGGCATTTCACAGACATTTCACAGGAGATTTAGCTTCCAAAATGTGAGGTAGCAGCTCAAGGTCACATACCTGCTAAGTGACAGATCTGAGTCCTCGAGCTCCTCACCGCAGAGTCCCGGTCTCGTGCCAGAGACGCCGAGCTCCTTGGCCGGGACTGCAGCCTCCCCAGGTGGCTCTGCTGGGCTGCCTGGGCTGGAACC